AAACTGGTCCCAAATCTACTACCTACAGACTTTTCCAGACTGTGGATGCCATATACAGCAAAGCTGGCACGCTTCTTAAGTAAACGATATTGTGCTAACAGACAGAAGCGAAGTCTAATGATGTGTCTCTCATCGGCTATCGACAGATCTTTTCATTGTAAACTGAGAATATTGTGTCGATAGCTAATTAATAAAAAGAAACATCATAGAAATTTATAATCTTACATGACTGAATACAAAAACTTTACAAAACGCACTAAAATTAAACGCTAAAACGACTATAAATGAATGCAAAGTGAAATGCGAAAGAAAAGCATCACAACTGTCAACAGCTTACAGTTTAAAAACTAGACGAAATGCACTTAATTAGTCTGACCCATCAATGACCAGATACTGTGAAATGTGGAAAACTGTGAAAGGTTTTACTAGTGAGCAGAAGGAATGTTGGAACTTCTGATACAAGTGAATGATCAATGAAATAAGGCAAAGAGACCAAGTCAAGTGGGTTACACCGCTACCTAATTATAATTGAGACATTACTTCTACCAGTGGAAAATTAATATAAACCTGAACATTTGAAATCACAATGACTAAGTATCTCATAAAGCGCTAACTATAAGCAACAACAATAACAAGATCTGTTAAGATGGCAAGGGAGTTCTGCACCTTTCCACCAGAATTTTTGAATTACTATCTTTTCGGCATAATAGCATTCAAGCAGAAGTGGGGGCAGGGTTGGAAAACACAGTATTGATCGGGCACTTGTGATTTCCGTGACCCGTCGCGTGAATCGCGCAAATCGCGTGAATCGCGCAAATCGCGTGAATCGCGCAAATCGCGAAAATCAGCGAAACCTGCGACGGATCGCGGACTCTGACACCAGTCTAAGTCCAGTGTTAGTATTGTGCTGCAGCAGCTCTAGCTGCTGTCCTGCTACTGGGCGGAACCGCGTTACGAGATTCCTTCGACAGCGTGAAAAGGATAAGTTTGGCAGAGCTTTGATTATCGTTAGGCTAGCGGCACCGCTTTGATATGTTCAACAAGCCAAAGTCTCCTGATAACTTGAGCTTCTATGAGAGTGAAAAGGTGCAGAACTCCCCAATGGTTGTCCATTTTGGTGTAGAACGGCACTTAGCTGAAGTTTACAAAGCGGCCCTTATAGATAACATATCCAAAAGGTGAGATATGAAGCGGGCAGTCGTGAAGTGGCTAGTATTACAGCACTAATGAACGAGGGAACTAGGATCGAAGTTGACGCAGCACAAAAATATTTTCCCGGTAACAAACAAAACTGCTGCTGGCATAGGTACTGCTCATACTCACAGGTTACAAAAAGGGGGTGCTGCCCGAGCCCCGTTTTCACATCTATCTTCAAAAATCGAATTACTACTAAACGATTGTGACTGCCATGACAGCAGCATGGCAAGGAATAGATCAATAAAACACTAACAACTAGGACAGCACTCTATTAGATTGCACCTACGCTTCCTCTCCTGTAAGTCTTCGCGTGCTCCTCTGGAGGCCTTCATTCATAGACATCCCTCTTGTGACCTGTTTTGTCAAGAGCGCTTTTTCTTCTTCCTTTTGAGCCTCCTCGAACTTTTTCTGCACCTCGTCGACGATTTCGAACCGGCCATGCTCACCCTTAAAAAACAGATAAACAAATCAATTACAGAATGAAAAAAATCTGAAGTTACCTGTTTGCTCTTCTGATAAAACACTGTTCCCAGCGTACAAACGACAAAGAACGCTATACCCACTATACAAACTGCGATGGTATACAAGCGCTCTGGTGTTCGCCTTTTCTGTAACAAATACAACATTGGCACAAAGGGTTAATCCTGTTTCACAGTCTACCATAATTATTACACAAACCGTTTTCAAAACTTTGCCATCGACACCCAAGTGGAGTTCCTTTTCCTTTGCCTCACTGAGGCTTAGCAATTGGCAGCCATGAATGTTTGCCGTATTGCGAAAATAAGGGCACCCCTAAAAGTTCAGCTCGATTCCACAACATACAAAACGCTGGCGTAAGTAGTAATGCTCACAATGGAAGGGCAGAAGTAAGCGTCTTGCGACAGTACTGCTGCTGAAAGGTTGTAGTTTTCGCCAGCAATCAAGCGGTTCCAAAGCCATTTCGTTGCATAATTGTGTCCTGGAATTACTGCTATTCCCTAGGTAACTCGATATAACGTTGAAACGTACCTCTCCTGTTGAGCAGTGGCTTATTGGGAATAAATAAACCGTAAGGATATCGAGAGGTTATTGTAAGCTCAGGAATTGCAAGAATACCAAATGTGGAAGCCTATAATAAAAAATAATTAGCACGTTAGTCACTCGAAAAGGAGGAACATGAACAAGAGAAGAAGGAAAAGTTTTGTGACTGCTCATGAAGGATCTGTCCGCTAGAACAGAAGATCCGCTCGAAGGAGGGAACGATGAACAGAGAAGAGAGAAAGAGTATGTGAAATGTCATGAAGGATCTGTCCCTAGAAGAAGCGCTTTTCCGCTGGTCGCGCCCGAAACTTTACCTCTATTGGGGAGCTTGCGATCGCTGTTCGCAGCGCGAAACTTTTTCTTCATGGGAAGCTCAGATCCATCATGTTAGTAGTGGACCTGTGGTTATCGCAGCCAAAGAAGTTTCGTTGATAAGTGGTGCGAACAACGAAAAAATCGCTTTCTGTCCTAGCGAGTCACATCCCTTATGAACATCTACTGAACAGTTAGCACCTTTGCCCGAGATCACAAATGTTCCCAAAAAGAGACAGATATCGAATAGCAGAGTTAATATTATTTCTGCCACTTCTAGCTCTTGAAAACTGACCCTGAATGGGTTTTTATCCACGTGCTCTTGGAGATCCTCGAATGCCTTTTTCCAGTCAGCACTAAGCCTTTCCATCAACGTATTCGATGCTTCTCTTGAACATTCACAGCGAGATCTAAATCGTCAACATAACTAAGGGAATTAAATATACGAATAAAACATTGGACCAACTTGGGAGGAAGGAAACAGCGAACTTTCGACAAATAATTTACTTCAGCAGGTTTCCTTTGAGCTCGTGGGGGAACGATACATGGATTGGTCCCAACAGCACAATAAAACCACGAGGAAGATTTTTTTGAAGGATGTCGATGGCCTCCGTCAGCGCTGTGACGTTAGGTGAAGTGCATCTGGAGCACACCTGCAACAGCATTAAACTGAGGACTAATGAGTGAAAATCAGACCAATGAACAATTAGAATAGAGGGTAAAAGTAAGGAAATAAGCCTGAATAATTACTGCCGACCTCTTCGGTGCCGATTGTTACGATAACCATGGTCCAGTGATCTCTGTAATTCACTTGAACCAGATTTCTCAGTCGTCTGACAAGTTCTCGTGCCTGAACAGGTAGACATAATAATCGCTAAAACCACACTCCACGGTCACTCTGCCGATTTCCCTGCTAGAATACGAAAATAGTTGCGTGTTAGGGCGCCAACGAATAAGTAACGAAAGGAATTGTTGGAAACATTGGGAACAATGATGTTTT